CTACTGCAGCCCATATATACCTGTAACCAACTTTCTTTCTTGTTTTCTATTTTTTTTTAAATTAAAGTAACAAGTTAACTAACAATCCATCTTATGGTAAGCGGCTACTGCAGCCCATATATACCTGTAACCAACTTTCTTTCTTGTTTTCTATTTTTTTATAAATTAAAGTAACAAGTTAACTAACAATCCATCTTATGGTAAGCGGCTACTGCAGCCCATATATACCTGCAACCAACTTTCTTTCTTGTTTTCTATTTTTTTTTAAATTAAAGTAACAAGTTAACTAACAATCCATCTTATGGTAAGCGGCTACTGCAGCCCATATATACCTGTAACCAACTTTCTTTCTTGTTTTCTATTTTTTTTTAAATTAAAGTAACAAGTTAACTAACAATCCATCTTATGGTAAGCGGCTACTGCAGCCCATATATACCTGTAACCAACTTTCTTTCTTGTTTTCTATTTTTTTATAAATTAAAGTAACAAGTTAACTAACAATGCATCTTATGGTAAGCGGCTACTGCAGCCCATATATACCTGCAACCAACTTTCTTTCTTGTTTTCTATTTTTTTATAAATTAAAGTAACAAGTTAACTAACAATCCATCTTAAGGTAAGCGGCTACTGCAGCCCATATATACCTGACCACTTTCTTTCTTGTTTTCTATTTTTTTATAAATTAAAGTAACAAGTTAACTAACAATCCATAACGGTCTGCAGCCCATATATACCTGTAACCAACTTTCTTTCTTGTTTTCTATTTTTTTATAAATTAAAGTAACAAGTTAACTAACAATCCATCTTATGGTAAGCGGCGTACTGCAGCCCATATATACCTGTAACCAACTTTCTTTCTTGTTTTCTATTTTTTTATAAATTAAAGTAACAAGTTAACTAACAATCCATCTTATGGTAAGCGGCTACTGCAGCCCATATATACCTGTAACCAACTTTCTTTCTTGTTTTCTATTTTTTTATAAATTAAAGTAACAAGTTAACTAACAATCCATCTTATGGTAAGCGGCTACTGCAGCCCATATATACCTGCAACCAACTTTCTTTCTTGTTTTCTATTTTTTTATAAATTAAAGTAACAAGTTAACTAACAATCCATCTTATGGTAAGCGGCTACTGCAGCCCATATATACCTGTAACCAACTTTCTTTCTTGTTTTCAATTTTTTTATAAATTAAAGTAACAAGTTAACTAACAATCCATCTTATGGTAAGCGGCTACTGCAGCCCATATATACCTGAACCAACTTTCTTTCTTGTTTTCTATTTTTTTATAAATTAAAGTAACAAGTTAACTAACAATGCATCTTATGGTAAGCGGCTACTGCAGCCCATATATACCTGCAACCAACTTTCTTTCTTGTTTTCTATTTTTTTATAAATTAAAGTAACAAGTTAACTAACAATCCATCTTATGGTAAGCGGCTACTGCAGCCCATATATACCTGCAACCAACTTTCTTTCTTGTTTTCTATTTTTTTTTAAATTAAAGTAACAAGTTAACTAACAATCCATCTTATGGTAAGCGGCTACTGCAGCCCATATATACCTGTAACCAACTTTCTTTCTTGTTTTCTATTTTTTTTTAAATTAAAGTAACAAGTTAACTAACAATCCATCTTATGGTAAGCGGCTACTGCAGCCCATATATACCTGTAACCAACTTTCTTTCTTGTTTTCTATTTTTTTATAAATTAAAGTAACAAGTTAACTAACAATCTATCTTATGGTAAGCGGCTACTGCAGCCCATATATACCTGTAACCAACTTTCTTTCTTGTTTTCTATTTTTTTTTAAATTAAAGTAACAAGTTAACTAACAATCCATCTTATGGTAAGCGGCTACTGCAGCCCATATATACCTGTAACCAACTTTCTCTCTTGTTTTCTATTTTTTTTTAAATTAAAGTAACAAGTTAACTAACAATCCATCTTATGGTAAGCGGCTACTGCAGCCCATATATACCTGTAACCAACTTTCTTTCTTGCTTTCTAATTTTTTTTCTTTCTTAAAGAAGGCTATAAATGAGTTTTCACCACTTAATCTGTAATTTCCCGTAATTATACTGGGTCTCGGCCTTCTGACCAGAACAGTCTGCGCGTACCAGTTTGGCTGCAGAAATAGGTTAAAAAAAACGTACCTACCTACCCTAATTGACTTATATAATAAAATATATAAAACAAGGCGCGTAGTTTGTGCAATTCCTTCTCATATCCTTTTCAACCGACTTCAAAAATGAGGAGGTACTCAATTCGACTGTATGTTTTTCAATGTGTGTCTTCAGTAACAAACCGCAACTTACAAAATTTATACCGAGACACAATGATCTGCTGCGATCTGAGCACCGGTTATACCTAGTGGCAACATTGCGACGTAACATGCGCTGTAAAAATCTGTGAAGTTAAAAAACAAAGAAGAGGGTAGTAATCGTGAGAAGCGATATATTATATTCTCTTTGTGTTATCGTGATGTGAATATCTCTCGAAAAAAAATTTAAAAGAGGACTACTCCAGAGTGAATAGTCTGTCAAAAAAGTCATGAAAAGAATATTTTTGGAACTAGTGCTTTTGCTTGTACTGGCAACAATAAATTATTGTCAAACTGAGTAACACAGCTGTCATAACGTAGCTTTGTAGTTGATGTGCTCTAAGTTTTTTTGTTATATTTCGAGTTGATTAAAACTACTTTTACGGATTTTATCGCGTTTTATTATTTTTAATACCCGACGTTTCGGGTGCTTTCCAGCACCCATGGTCACGGGGGACTAAGGTGACTGACGTCCCGATGTCAAAGTTAACCCGGAGTACCTTCAGCTTTTTAATTATTGTCTTTGATCCGATCTACGCAGAATGAACTAACTGTGTTTTGAAGTCTTGCAGTGGTATGCTTGGGTTTAGTTTTAATTTTATTAATTATAGGATCCCAAGCAGGTGGTAGTACCCAGCCTCCTTCTCTATTGAAATTAGGATGTTTTTTAATTTCAATAGCCTCACGTATCATCCTTGGTAGGAATCGATGTTCTTTCGCGAGGATTTGTGGTCTATCAAATCTGATGTAATGGTTGGGGCCATCTAGGATATGATTGCAAACTGCAGACTTCTCGGAACGTTGATGCTTCACTCCGGGTTAACTTTGACATCGGGACGTCAGTCACCTTAGTCCCCCGTGACCATGGGTGCTGGAAAGCACCCGAAACGTCGGGTATTAAGGGGAAATATAACCTCAAATGGCTTAGCATGATCCTTCGTTATGCCGAAAATATTGCATTAATTTTGAAATAAATATATGGTAAAGTTTAATGTTTAGGATTATGTTAGACGAAAACACGATTCCGTAAAATTTTTTCGATAGAAAAAAAATCCAAAGTTACCTCAACCTAATTAAATAAGTGTATAACGACCTATCTACTTACAGTATTAGTGATTACAAACATGTCGGTACATAGCATACGACGCGCCGTGAAGTGGGGGGCGAAATTAGAATTTGAGCTGACTTACTATATCCCCTTAAAAATAAATAAAACGCGATAAAATCCGTAAAAGTAGTTTTAATCAATGTATAGTAGTGTTCGCGTAAATATAAGAAATCATTATATTTCAAGTTTTTCTTATCGTATGACCGTTTAGCAAAAATGAAACGCAGTGTTTATAAGAGCGGTACCAGACAAGTCATATTTAGTGTTTCAAATGTGTATGGCTCAATTTCAAGCGGGAAAGTTTCTTTCCGATTTAGACGATGTTTACGGTCGAACAGCAAAGATAACTGGTACGTACATGTATTTTAATGTTAAACACAATAAAAAAAAAACTATAATCTCATATCTATAATTTGTTTTTAAGTATAATTTATCCGTTTTATAACATTGTTTACAAATAGTTGAGGTTATGAAATTTATCTAAGAATTATACTACACAGTCAATAGCTTTGATCCTTTTGTATTATTTATTTAGATATGAGTAAGGTTTATAATTTACATGCCTATATTGGTTTCAGGTGTTTCCGAAAGCACAATCCGGCGCATAGTGGACGAAGGTATGCAGAATGGAGGTAAATTCGTCACGCCCGGAAAACACAGGCAATGCCGACCTATGAAACAGATCAATGATTTTGATCTCTGTGCCATTCGTCAAAAAGTTCATTTTTTCTACACAGTGCGGAAAGAAGTGCCTACACTAAGAAAACTATTGGCAGTGGTGAAGGAAGAATTAAATTTTGATGGTAGCCATGAATTTTTAAGACAAGTTTTAATTTCTATTGGCTTTAAATTTAAGAAATGCCAAACAAACAGACTGGCTCTCATAGAAAAACGTGAGTATTATTTAAAGCACATCCTTGAAAACAGAAGATTGCCCAAAGAGCTCCAAAAAACATTATTTATTTGAATGAGAGCTACATACACGAGTCCTACAAAGTTACTTAATGTTGACAGTCTTTTAATATTTCTGGCGTCCAACAAGATGTATCTAAAGGGAAAAGATGGATAATTGTGCATGCTGGAAGTGAAAATGGTTTTGTTCCTAATTCACTATTAATATTTATTGGTAAAAACAAGAAAGATGATTACCATTCTGAGATGAACGCTCATAATTTTACAAAATCACCAATAATTGTGATGGATAATGCACCATACCACTCCATTATAACAAACAAGGTATTTTAATATTTCTTTCTTATACTTTATTTTTGTTTTACATTATTACTTATCTTTTTATGTTGCAACTGAAAATCAACTATTAAATTAAGTTTTTTTTTGCCCTAGGCACCTACATCTGCATCAAAAGTTTTTGACATCAAATTGTGGCAATTAGAAAATAATATTCCATTTGATGAAACGTTACGGAAACCATCCTTATTGATGCTTGTAAAAAACATAAACCTGAACCGGTGTATTATATCAATGAACTCCTAGGGGAACATGGACATACAGTGGTAAGACTACCACCCTGTTATTGCAATCTGAACCCCATTGAATTAGTTTGGGCAATGGTAAAAAGGCGAATCGCACAAAAGAATGTTTGTGGTCAAGATGTTGCGAAGTTTGCTACTGAAGCATTTCAGTCAGTAGCTCAGCAAGAATGGAAAAATTGTGTTGACTATGTCATCAAGATAGAAAATGAATATTTTACCCGTGGAGGATCTCTGTATAATGATATTGACAAATTTGTCATCTCAGTAAGCGATGATAATTCCGGTGAATCTGAAGAGTCAGAAATGGACCAATTTAATTACGCAGGAGCTTCAGGCAACATTTCGGGAATTGAATACCTCGACTCAGAAGATTTGAACTCAGATTAATAATCAAAATATAATAAATATGTATCAACATTTTACGTTTTATTTCTTCACCTTGAGTGTGTCAAGTCTGTCAAGGCTGGTCTTGTGTAAAACCTACTTTTCCTAATTATTTGTAAGATATTCAAATTATCTCAATTATTAAGCATGTGAATTTAGCTAATTACTGTTGCTGGGATATACAAGGGTCAACGGTTACTCATACCAATAAAAGCATGCACTTGAAAAATATGACAGTAAAGGGACCATAATAATAAATCAGTTTATAAAATAAAACGTATCAAAAATTTTCGGTTGAAATCTATGGGGATGCCGTATACAAGATAGTGGCGCCCTCCTTTTTTTCATGAGTTTCTTGACAGACTGTACCGTGTACGATCTAATTGCTTGTGTATTCAACCGCGTAGAAAAAACTACCAGGAGCTGTCAACGTTTGCTCATATTGGGAGGCTGGCTAGTAAGACCGTGAGTGTTTGTTGCTGTATTGATGTAGTTTTGTGATTATCATATACGCCACAGTGTGTGACCTCATAAAATTTTTCCCAGTGAACCGATTTTCATGATTCTTTTTTTACTTGAAAGTTGGTGCTTCACGTGTGGTCCCATATACATTTAATCAAGATCTGACCAGTAGTTTTCCAGTTATACTTAATAATGCGTATTTAATTGACTTCGAATACATTGATGATGTTCTCATTTTATTTATATTGAAGCCGGTTGCACAACATTTATAATTTTACCACTTGTTATTAATTTAACGTATTTGTTGTCGAGTCATTTAAATTAACGTCATAAGTGTGCGGTTTGCCCTTTAGAATTTCCATTAAGAATATCCTTGTAAATTTTTATCTGCTACAAACAAAACTTGCATGTACCTGTAACAAAAGAAAGAACTTGAATTAATTATTGTATATACAATGAATTCTTTCAGAAATAGAAAAACAGGTCTTTGTCTAGCAGTAGTATGTAAGTAAACTGTTACTTTACATTTTCAGATAAGTCTGTTCAGTTGCTTGTATGTTGTCAAATTTGCTGAAGACTGCAGCTTCATTTCCCGTCTAACCGCCACGAGGTTAACATTGTGATCGGAGAGTTTTTGTTTTCCTCCGCGGCGGATCTTACATAACTTAGATCCGACCGCATGGACAGTTTCTATGAGCTTGTCATTCGTATAGTTCACTGCATTGCAGTCTTCTAGGCGCTGAAAATTTTGTGACTCGAGCTGAAAGTCCCGAAATACTTTGGATTAGAGCACGATGAGGACGGAGCTTTGACTTCATTAGACGAGAACTCTCCAACTTAACGTTTAGGTTCTGTGTGCCTCTTACCATTCGGTGATCGCTGCCAGCTTTCACACTCGTGATCACTGAGACATCACTGAACAGTTGCCGTATAGTCGTCACAATGAAGTCAATCTCATTTTTTGTCGAACCGTCAGGACTCGAGACCTGCCACTTTCTGTGGGGCCGCTTCTGGAAGAAAGAATTCATCATAAAGAGTCTCTCTATCTCCATGAAGTCAGCCAGCTGCTAGCCCGTTGGGTTCCGTTGCCCATCTCGAATTTCTCTACCTTGAGCTCAGCGTTACCGTCGACGATAAATCAAATTCTTCAGATTTCTTGTCGTGATTCCAACGAAAGCATATTATATAGCAAATGAATAAAGTTATTAGCTGATATAACAAGTAGCAGTACAAAACAATTTTAGAGAAATGCAGGAACTGGTAAATGCTTGTATTCGAAAGTATTTGAATCTATTCAAATTCAAGAGAACCGCAAAGCTTGCACTGTCGTCGGCATGCACAAGCACAACACTAACTTGAATGCAGCCATCAAATATGCGTTTTGTGTATTGGTTTGATTTAATAATTATTGTCTGAAAAATAATTGATTACTTGCAAATAAACAACAAATTTAAAATTTATGTGATATAGGTTTTAAATTTGGGGTTTGTTTAAATTTAATTTGTTGTATTACGTAGTTATTATATATGTAAGTCATGAATAATGTATAGAGAAGTGTTAATCTCTCCTGTTAAAAATAATATATTTAGTAACCATACTTCATAGTAAATATGCATTATACGTGAATAAAAAAAGGCATTCTCGTTTGGAATTATGATTTCCTATTTTTCTATTTTTTATTTTCTATTTAAATATTATGCCAAATCAAGCTTAGTAAAATAATAATTGTTAATTATAACAGTAACGTTAGCTGCATAACAAATAATACCTAATTCACTTTGGTTTTAAAGCTAGGACTTCAGTGACAGTAAGCAAGAATATTGGTATAGAGATTGTCAAAATATATAATTATGTTACTAATAAGAACATTACATATACGTCTTTTAATAATAATAGAAAAACATGTTGTCAAATTTCAACGCTTATTTAATAGCCCGTCTCAAATTTACACACACCCGCTACAAGAAGCGCATTTCAAACTAAATTAACACGCCACAAAATGTTTACTGCACCGTCTTACGAGTCAAGTGCGGCTTGACAGGGGTACAAAATTAATAGACAATATATACATCACACTCATACTATATGTGATATGGATAGGCATTATAAACAATAGATATTTAAGTTATATTTCAGAAGACTCACGAAAGACATGGATACAATTAAAAAAAAGATGAGCAATAAAATGGAATTTATGATACAATTTTTGAATACGTGGTAGAGCGCTGCTGCTATATTGTGGTCGTAGCACGAATGGGTCGGCTCGGCCGGGGGACCACGCTCTCACAGAATACCAGCGTAAAATAGCAGCTTTTCGTATGGTGAGTGTAGAGAACCGGAGACCCTTTTTTACTGGAAACGAGGCATTCCATCGAGACAGTCCTCAGGAGTGACAACATTTTACTGAGTTAGTAAATTTAAGTTAGTAGTAAGGTTTTCGTGGTAACTATTATTTACATACATACATAAACACTCACGCCTGTCACCCAGAGGGGTAGGCAGAGACTACAGACTTCCATTTGGCACGATCCTGACACACCTCTCTCGCCTCCTTCACATCCATACACCTCCGCATACATGCTCGTCGGTTAAGGGTACTCCTAATTTGGCCCGTTTTCAATAAATCGCCAATTTGGTCGATAAATTTTCGCCTAGGACGTCCCTTTCCGACTCTGCCATTCACTTCTGCAACATAAATTTTCTTTGTCACTCTTTCCTCATTCATTCTTTCCACATGACCAAACCACCGAAGCATTCCTTTCTTAATCCTGGTCACAACATCATCTTGCAAACCACACTCTTCTCTTATTACACAATTTCTTACCCTGTCATTAAGATTCAGCCCTAACATACTCCTTAACGACCGCATTTCTACTGCGTTCATTCTACTCTCGTGCTTCTTCTGCCACACCCAACTTTCACTACCATATGTTAAAGTAGGGACCAACCAGCATTGTGAATTGCCATAGGTGCCTTTTTCGACACATTTTGACTCTTCACAATAGAGTGCAGGGCCCCATTTACTCTATTTCCCGCATTCACTCGTCGTTCTATATCCTTATCATATCTCCCATCCCTGCTAAATACGCAGCCCAAATATACAAACTCATCTACTTGCTCGATCAACTCCCCTTCTATTCTTATTTCACAAATCGTTTTACTTTCTTCTCTTTCAAAAACCATAACCTTCGTCTTACTTGCGTTCACTTTCATACCCCTTTCTTTTAATGATCTGTTCATTAATGTAACCATCATTTGCAACTCGGCCGCCGACGACGCAAGTATAACTTGATCATCGGCGTACAAAAGGCATTTGACGGTTAACTCACCCATTCTTAATCCGCATTCTTCAACTTTCAAATTTTGCAAACAACTGTCCATAAATAGGTTGAACAGCCACGGGGGAAGCTACACAGCCCTGTCTGACACCTTTATGGATGTCAAACCAGTCCGAGTAGACCCCGTTGATCCTAACACAAGCACTAGAGTCCCTATAAAGGGACTCCAATGCCCGTATCAAGCCAGCGCTCAACCCAAATGAGTTCAGTATTTGCCATAGCACATCCCTATTCACTCTGTCATAGGCCTTTTCCAAGTCCATGAACGCACAAAAAAACCTTTTGGTTTTTGGCCAAAAACTTCTCCGCGATCATGCGCATGGAAAAGACTTGATCTGTACATCCCATTCCCTTTCTAAATCCTGCTTGCACATCCCAAATTTTTCCATCAGTTTCTTTCATGACCCTTTCAATCAGTACCTTAGCATACAGTTTTCCCACAATGCTAAGAAGGCTGATGCCACGGTAGTTTTTACAGTCCTGCTGCGACCCTTTTCCCTTATATACTGGGACTATCACGGCTTTGCACCAGTCTACCGGTACCCGCTTCAGTTCCCAGCATAAATTAAACAAGGTGTGCAGCAGGCCTGCCACCACTTCCTCTCCAGCCCTTAGCATTTCGAGTGAAACTCTATCATATCCGGCAGCCTTACCTGCTTTCATGCTTTTCATTGCTTTCATTATTTCACCTACACTAATCTCGCTACCTCTTTCCTCTTCTTTCGGAATTTCTACTTCACTTAGTACACACGTTGTCTCCTCACTCATAAACACGCTTTCAAAATATTCCTTCCATCTCTTTAAACTCAAAACTTCATCATTCAGAATATAGCCATTCTCGTCTCTTATAGCATTCATCATAGGCTGTTTTGAATGTCCCCTGGCAGTTCTTACAAGTTTCCAGAACATTTTAATATTTGCCTGGAAATTATCCGATATTCTTCTATCAACTATTATTTAATCTGTGGAAAGGGAGACAAACGAACCACAGTGGCCCACAGACACATATAGCTACTATCGTCGAATAAGTGTCAAAATGCGTTGCCCCCCCTGAGCTTTAAAATAGAACGCAACGTATCTGTAAAAGGGGTCTTCGGTCTTAAATCAGCAACACCCACCACTTTGGATTTATTAACGGAATAGACCCAAAACAACACTATGGATCAATCGCTATACTCAAAGAGAAATCCATGTGATAATATC